GTAGTCTGTGTGGTGTGTGTGTGGTTTGTGTAGTCTGTGTGGTATGTGTGTGTGGGGTTATGTGGTCTGTGTGTGTGTGTGGTTTATGTAGTCTGTGTGGTGTGTGCCTGTGATTTTCGTAGTCTGTGTGTATGTGGTTTTTGTAGTCTGTGGTATGTGTGTGGTGTATGCGTGAGTTTTCCCTCATTTCCAAACCATTCTGACGTTGTAGACAGCGTGCCCGCTGCGTGATGGTGAGTGGGGTCCTCTGCCTGTGTGTGACAGAGAGTGAGCCCCTTGGCCTCCCTGCGCTTCTGTCCACAAGATTGAGCTGCTGACGATGGGCAGTGTGAGGATGGGACAGCGGCTGAGACCGTTGCGGGCAGGGCTCGGCAGGGGTTAGCTTTGCTGATGAGGAGGCAGCTGTGGGGCCTCGGGGCCTCTGTGGGACCCTGCTCCCCGCAGAGCTGCACAGCAGGTTGCTGAGTGAGAACACCACCCTGGGTGCTTGTGAGAGGGGAGGATCACCTGCTCGCAGCTGGGCCCCCAGGCCTTGCCCTCTCTGTGGCGGTCCCTCCTGCCTTCCTGTGACCCCGTGTGCGGGGACAGGGACGAGACACAGTGGAAGGAAGCTCAGGGCCTGCAGCCGCAGCAATGTGGCCTCCCCAGACCTCCTGGGAGAGGTGTGGGTTGGCGCCTTCATTCACGCGGCAGCTTCGGTTACCTGGAAGTTAGTCCACAGAGACGTGGGTGCTGGCCTCTGTGCACAAGCCAGCTCGGTGTTATTCTGGTGGGAAAATGCCTACACGCTTGACCAAGGTGCTGTGGGCATGAAGCTTGCCTGTGGAGGCAGACTTAAAAGAGTTCTTCAGCTGGGCACGGTGGCTCACGCCTGTAATCCCAGCACTTTGGGAGGCCAAGGCAGGCAGCTGCAGGTCAGGAGATTGAACCCATCCTGGCCAACACGGTGAAACCCCGTTACTACTAAAAATACAAAAAAAATTAGCCAGGTTGGTGGTGGGCACCTATAGTCCCAGCTACTCAGGAGGCTGAGGCAGGAGAATCGCGTGAACCCTGGAGTCGGAGGTTGCCGTGAGCCGAGATTGCAGCAGTGCACTCCAGCCTGAGCGACAGAGCGAGTCTCCTCAAAAAAAAAAAAAAAAAGTTCTTCAAACCTGTCTGATCTCCTTAATGAGAGGAGTGGCTAGCTGTTTTGTGGTATGGAAGGCCGAAGGCGAGCGACGTGCAGACCAAGTGCCATTTGCCCATCAATTGACAGCAGGTTGAATTCAGGGCTCAGACCCTATCCTGGGTCCCTTGAGGGACTGTTGCCCACTGGCATTGCTTTGTGCGTTATGCTCTAGCTATACCTGCCTCTTCTAAAGGTCAGGGCTTCTGATATTGGATGTTTGTGATTTTGACTTTTCATATATATATATTTTTTTTTTTGTTTGTTTATTTGTTTTTTTTGTTTTGTTTTTGAGATGGAGTCTCGCTCTGTTGCCCAGGCTCTGCAGTGGCACAATCTCGGCTTATTGCAACCTCTGCTTCCTGGGTTCCAGCAATTCTCCTGCCTCAGCCTCCTGAGTAGCTGGGATTACAGGCATGGAGCCACCATGCCCAGCTAACTTTTCTTTTTGTATTTTTAGTAGAGATGGAGTTTTGCCATGTTGACCAGGCTGGCCTTGAACTCCTGACCTCAAATGATCCACCCGCCTCGGCCTCCCAAAATGCTGGGATGACAGGTGTGAGCCACCGTACCTGGCCTTGACTTTTCATCTTAAAGTACTATCGGGATAGGGGCCTTGGAGGTCTACCTGGGAGGGGACAGCTGCTGCTGCTGTTTTCAATAAAACACCCTCCCATCTTTGAGTTCTGGTTTTATCCATTGCTATTGTTGCCAGTCTCAGGAAGCTGGAGGTCTCCCAGGCACCCCAGCCCCTCTCATCTCTCCAGTTGTTCTCCCTGAGAATCTTCCAGACCAGCACTGATGAACAGACCTCTCTTTCATGATGGAAGTGTCCTGTAGCTGTGCTGGCCAGCATGGCAGCCACTGGCCACACGTGGCCACACGTGGCTACTGAGCACCCGAAACGTAGTCAGAAATGCAATTTTTAATTTTAATGAATTTTTAAAAACATTCAGATTTAAGGATCCTGGAGATTGTTTGTACAACAATGTGAATGTACCTAACCTGACCGAATGGGACACTTAAAAGTAGTTAAGATGGTAAATGGGATGGTATGTTTTATGGTATGTTTTTACCACAATTTAACCAAAGAGAAAAGTCAGCACAGGCAAGATACAAAAAGACAGATGGCTATGTGATTCCACTTACAGGAGCTACCCAGAGGAGTCAGATTCATAACGACAGAGTAGAATGATTGGTGGTTCTCAGGGGCTGGGGGGAGAGTGCAATAGAGAACTGGGGACAGAGTCTCACTTTGGGAACATGAAGTTCTGGAGATGTGTGTGTGTAAGTAAGTGCATTCCCAACAATGAGGATGTACTTACTGCCACTGACCTGTGCACTTATGTTGGAAACAGATGCTCGGTGCTACGAAGAAAAATCAGCACTGAGACAAAGGATCTCTCAGCAAGCAATTTTGATTTCCTCCACTGCAGGAAGGGCACCCTCGCCAGCCATCTTACCACGAGGGTACAATGAACAGATGAAAGCAGACATGTTTATCCCTTATGCATTTGGGGTCATCCTCACTGCTGGGTCTGATCTCCGTTGGCTGGAGCCAGACCTCACAATCTAAACTGAAACCCGATTGGCTAATAACTTAAAACTTTTGTAAACAGGTAAAAGCAATGGAGAGCTGGGACATGCCTGTGAGCACGTCCAGCACAGATATCTCGGTTAAATTACAAGGACACAGAATGTGCTATGTGCCTGTAAGCATGGCGTGTCTAACAGCTACAGAGGATAGGGCTTCACAAAGAGTTATCAGCACATTTATTCTTTAACAGGAAAGAAAATTTGAAGAGGAACTTTTCTACTTCCCACAATTTACAAATGGTTAAGATGGCGAATTTCAGCCTATGTATATTTCATCACAACAAAAAAGAAAGTCAGCAACATTCAAAGACAAACATTTTTTATTTAAATAGCCGCACGTGGCCATTGGCTACCGTGTTGGACAGCAGCTCTAGAGCCATGGAGGCTGGGGCTGCACTCACTGTGGTCTCTGCTGCAAGACAGAGTGGTGAGGGCCACCTGGTCCCAGCTCTGCGCCCTGAAGGTCTGAATGAATGATTCCAGCAGCCGATGCTGAGGGAGCACTCACGTGTGCCGGGGGCTCCCTGCCTGCCCTCTTGCTGTGTCTTTACGATAGCCCTGAGCGATGGGAGTCAGTGCTATCCCTGGGATCAGCAGCAGGAGACGGTTCCAAAGGCACAGTCCTAACCAGGCAGCTGTACTCAGCTCCAAACACTCATCATATTTAGTGTTTGCAGTGCCCAGGTAATTACAGCCCTCTGCCCTTTTGCCTTTCTTAGATTAGGTGCCGGGTCTCAAAGGATTTCACGATCGTGCCTTCACTTGATACCAGATTCTCCTGCCTGAAGTGAGAGGAGGGATGGATTACTTTACTTTAAAATATTTCCGACTAGGTGCAGTGGCTCTCACTTGTAACCCTAGCACTTTGGGAGGCTGAGGCAAGCAGATCAATTGAGCCCAGGAATTTAAGACCTGCCTGGGCAATATGGCAAAACCCTGTCTCTACAAAAAATACAAAGGCTGATGCAGGAGAATCACTTGAACCCAGGAGGCGGAGGTTGCAGTGAGTGGAGACGGTACTCCAGCCTGGGCGACAAGAGCAAAACTCTGTCTTAAAAAACAAAAACAAAAACAAAAAGCCCGACTTGGTGGTGTGCACCTATAGTCTCAGCTGCTTGGGAGGCTGATGTGGGAGGATCACCTGAGCCGGGGGGGTCGAGGCGGCAGTGAGGCTTGATTGCATCAGTGCACTCCAGCCTGGGTGACAGAGGGAGACTCTGTCTTAGAAGGAAAAAATATGCCCCCCTTGAGTTTATGCAAAGTATTTGCCAACCCCATACCCCGCCCGGAAACATCACAAGTCTTTCTCTGCAGTTTGCAGATGGCGTATACCTGGTTCTGCTCATGGGCCTTCTGGAAGACTACTTTGTTCCCCTCCACAACTTCTACCTGACTCCGGAAAGCTTCGATCAGAAGGTATGTGCATGGTCTCCGTCCTTGGTAGTGGCTCAAGAAACGCTCATTGAAATGCAGGGCATAGAACATTCTGGCAGCTCTTTCTGCGGCCTGGCTGCATTCTTCAAAAAGTAAAAATCGCACAAGTGATACTGCAATTAGATGGAACTCTCGGCAGAAGAAATGAGAGGCCCATCAGCAGTGCACAGCGCATCCGAGTTTTGTTTGCCACATTTTCTTTGGGATCTTTTCCACGGGACTGTGTAGTTTTTTTGCTTTGTTTTTTGAGATGGAGTCTCGCTCTTGTTGCCCAGGCTGGAGTGCAGTGGCGTGATCTCAGCTCACCGCAACCTCTGCCTCCCGGTTCAAGTGATTCTCCTACCTCAGCCTCCTGAGTAGCTGGGACTACAGGCGCCTGCCACCACGTCTGGCTAATTTTTGTATTTTTAGTAGAGATGGGTTTTCAACATATTGGCCAGGCTGGTATCAAACTCCTGACCTTGTCATCCTCCTGCCTCAGCCTCCCAAAGCGCTGGGATTACATGCGTGAGCCACTGCGCCCAGCCGGGACCGTGTAGTTTTTAATAATTGTGGTCACATCTCAGTAGAGTTGTAAACCCTTCCCCTGTTCTGCTGCAGATCCAGCGCCTGTGGTTTTCCCTGCCGCTTCCCAAGCTTCCCAAATGCCATGTCCAGTGGTGGCACAAAGTCCCAAGCATGGCTCCATTACCAGTGTCTCCCCGTTCCCCATTCTTGGCCATCAACTTGAAAGTGTTTCTATTTTTTTTTTTCCTACTGAAACAACAGAACATCTTTTTGACATGGAGTTTGTTGTTTCATCCCTGTGGATTGTTTTCTTGGGAAAATTTCTCAAATAGGGTCATCTGGGTCATTCCTTTCAATCGGGCTGGCCCACGCCCCCGGTCCCGCTGTGGCCACCCTGCGCGTGGGTTCCTCCCTGCTGTCTGCCCTCTGCCAGGGCTTCTGCAGTGAAGCCGCTCATGGCAGTATTTAGTGCATTGCCTTTAAAAACTTGGCCATGGATGGTCTATGTTGCTTTGGATTCACGGGCATCTGTCACTTTATTTTCCCCAAGTGTTAGACCCATGAGTCAGGGAGGCAGACAATGTAAGCTGGTGGTGGCAGCCAGAGAAATAGCAGAAATGGGGCCAGTGTTTATCAATCTGCCCACTGCTGGCACGTTGCAGTCTATTTGCTTGTGGCCAAATGTTGTTCCTGTCTCGCCTGCTGAGATGGAATCAGGACAGATTAGAGAGGTCTTGGCACATGGAGTCCACGTTGAATCGAGAGAGAGAGAGAGAGAGTGAGTGAGTACAAGAGGGAGTGCAGAGGGAATGAGCAAAATTGTGCAGAACTCACCAGGAAACGCGGGTGCCTGTGCTGCCACCCTGGGAGTGAATGGGCAGACAATGCAGTGAAGACGCCCGTGCGTCTCCGGGCCCTGACACGGCTGGTTGCAGAAACATTGTTTTGGAGAGTTCTTTTCTTTGTTCAAACTAATAAGGACGCTGGCGAGAACAGTGAGTGTAGCCAGGAGACTTAGAGCTGGGTTCTTTCCAAGACAAGGCTTTGTACAAATGTCAGAGGCGTCATCTCCTGGGCCCTGGCCTTCTTACCTTTGAAACTTGGATGAAAGTCTTTGACAATGGCTGCCCTGGCCTGCGAGGCTTGGGGAGGCTTGAGTCATCTGCTTTCCCCTCTGAATCGCAGCGAGGAAGGGAAGGCTATTTTCAGGTATAGCACGCAGCACACCGTTTATCCTATTCACTCAGGAGAACGGGAGCCTGGGGTGGTGGCATGGCTCTGCGGGTGGCTGGAGACGGATGTCAGCAGCTTCGGAGGATGGGAGGATGGGGGGCTGGGAGGAGTTCCTCCCCCGGCCCCTGCATTTTCCCCCTTTCTCCTCGTGGTATGATGGTCATAATGGCAGCTGCTGTCAAGTCTCCCTGGGCCCATGGTATTTATTATCTATCTTGTAGCCCTCACGACCCCTGGACAGGTGGGTGGTCCCCTGCTGCGGAGGACTTGCCCACTTCAGGCTGGGCCCAGCACCCATGTGCTCAAAACTGCTTGCAGACAGGATGTTGGTGACATCCCCTGCTCCTGTCTCTTATGGGCTGAGACCCTGAGATGCATTTGCTCTGGCCCTGGGAATCCTTACAGCTGCTCCACATTTTTGGAGGAGGGACTGAAGTTCAGTGAGTAAAACCAGAGATGCATTGTGAGCTGCTGTCCCGAGGGTAGTCATGGCTTATGGTTTGAAACAATTGCATTGGATTAAAAAAGAAAAAATCACGCTGGACAGCTCACAGCCTGTAGGCTTCTGCCCTGTGAGCTACCTCAGAGGTGTGAGTGTGGCCTGGCTTTTTTTTTTTTTAAGAAGGAGTTTCACTCTTGTTGCCCAGTCTGGAGTGCAATGGTGCAATCTTGGCTTACCACAGCCTCCGCCTCCCAGGTTAAAGTGATTCTCCTGCCTCAGCCTCCCAAGTAGCTGGGATTACAGGCATGTGCCACCTTACCCGGCTAATTTGTATTTTTAGTAGAGACAGGGTTTCTCCATGTTGGCTAGGATGGCCTCGAAATCCTGACCTCAGGTGATCCACCCACCTCGGCTTCCCAAAGTGCTGGGATTACGGGCATGAGCCACCATGCCTGGCGTCCCTGGCTTTCTGTTGCAAAGCCACCCTGGAGCTTTACCCTACACTGGCCATGTGCTGAGTGCCTTGCACCCCTTGGTCATCATTTTGGGAGACTCTGCAGGCCCCCGTCTCTGTGGAGTGGGGTGTACCCTGGAGACGTGGAGATGTTTCCTAGAAGAAAACATGAGTTGCTTCCCCTCAGCTGATCCCCTCAGCATTACTGGACGAGGACAGGGAATCTCAGGAGGGCTTCGAGGCCAGCCCAGGGTTGCACAGCCAGCAATGGCAGAGCCAGGAGGGTCCACTCCTGTTCCAGAACCTTCTATTCTTCCTTCACCCGGCCAGGTTGACTGAAACCTTTTGAATTGTGGAGAGAAAGGATTTCTGCCCATGTGGCTGGCTAGAAGCAGGGCCATGTATGGCCTGATCTTCGCTGGGCCTTGGGGACTCCCACTGCAGTCAGGGTTGGGGTGGGTGGTCCCCAGTCCTCGCCAGGAGCTGCGTTCTGGGAATCTGCCGTGATCCTGTCCTGCGGGGCATGGAAGGTGGCTGAGGGCAGAGGCAGGGACCTGAGAGAGGACAGGCATGGGACAGTGGCAGTTTCCTGCCCGACATTCCCTCAGCCTGTGAAGAAAGCAGAAGGAAAATCCCACTTCCAAACCAATCACTGTGGGGCCGAGCGTCTGCAGAGCAGAGAGGGCTGGAAGGGGCTTGGAAGGGGCTTTGCTCTCCCCTTGAGCTGTTCTCTCCTGGGGCAGGGGGGACCACCTCGTTGCCTGATCACACTCTCCAGCCGTCTCTGAGCGTCTCCATGTGTCACGCATCTCATCCCCAGCTCCTCCTGAGCATCCCCCCTTCTCTGCGTGAAAGAGGATTCCTCAGGCTTCAGAGGCGTACGGGAGAGGCACGAAAACAGACTGGTCCAAATTGGTGCTAACTTTCACACCGGGGAAGAATCTTTCCTTAAAAGAAAAATACTGAGTAGTAATAGACGCCTTTATTCCAGGGGAAGTCATGGTAGGTGGGGAGGTGGCCTGCTTTCTGCAGCATCTAACAGCATCTTTTCTTGCCGTTCCCCCTCTTTGCTCTCCTGTCTCCATCTCCATTTGGGGTCAAGCCTGTTGTATGTGCGTGAGTGTGCATGTGTGCGTGTGCACACGTGTGTGAGAGCTAATTTGATGACATTGACGGTGATTAGCTAAAGGGACCTGTGTTGCTAGGGGAGCCGAGGCAGGAGGCTCTTGGAGGAGAATGGGCACAGATTCCAGATCAGACTTAAACGTGTTTCAGTCCTGGTTCCATCCCTTTGAACCCTGTGCCTTTTTAGGGCACTGATGTCCCAGCACCCTCCTCCGGGAAGGAAGATGGCACCCAACCTCACACAGGGCCGGGAGGGGAAAGGGAGCCTGTGCCAAATGCACCTGCCCCGTGGCGGTTGCTCCCTGCCCTCTCCTTAGGGGAGCTGCTCTCTGCACCCTCCACACAGGCTATTTTGCTCCTTCCCCATTTCCAGTGTTTGGCCACCCTCAGACCTAGCCCTGCTGCAGCCCACCCCCATATCCAGGCAGGCTGTCCTGCAGGGTTGGGTATCTGCCCTGTTGCCTGGTGTTCTCATTGGTAGTTTCCGAGTTGGCCTCTGGAGCAGGGTCTTGGTTTGCTCACCCTCCTCGCCTCCAGGGTGGACATGGCCCGCCCTCCTTCCAGGCGGTGTCTTCCCCACTGACCCCATGTCTGGCCATACCCTCTCGCGGTTGGTGCTGGCACACCATTCACCCCCTTGCTTCTCCGAGCACAGCACGCGCGCACTGTGGAAGCTTTTCCAAAGCACCCCACGCTGTTTTCCAGTGTTGTGCATTTGATTAACCCAGGGAAGCCTCTTTTTCCTGGTTAATTACTCAATTACATTGCAAGTCAAATTGTTCATGCTTCTGATTCATTGACCTCAGAATCATGAAAATATGATTGTTGAAAGGATTTTTTGCTTTGTTTTTTTGTTTTGAGATAGACTGTTGCTCAGTCGCCCAGGCTGGAGTGCAGTGGAACGATCTCAGCTCACTGCAACCTTGCCTCTCGGGTTCAAGCAATTCTCATGCCTCAGCCCTCAAGTAGCTGGGATTACAGCTCTGCACCACCAAGCCCAGCTAATTTTTTTAATTATAGCAGAGACAAGGTTTCACCACGTTGGCCAGGCCAGTCTCAAATGCCTGACCTCAAGCGATCCACCTGCCTCAGCTCCCAAAGTGCTGGGATTACAGGTGTGAGCCACCGCGCCTGGACGTGACGTTTGATTGCTAAGAACCCTGACATCTGTGTTTTTGCTTGATGTCCCCTCCTCCCATCAGCTTTGGCTTGTGGCAGGTGGGTGGCTGGATGTAATCTGGTTCATCACCTGTATCCCTCTCCAGTGGTCTTTAAACACAGCCCAGAAGGCTCTTATTTTAAATCTGTTCAGCCATCACTAGCAGAATGAAAGCTTCTAGGACACTGGGCGCTGAGTAGTCATAGACCCTTTTATATCAGGAGAAGTCATGGTAAGTGGGGAGGTGGCCACCTTTCTTCAGCATCTAACAGGACCGGCACACTGCAGGCTGACACTTGCAGCCACTATGGGTCTGACTTCAGTTCTGACCAGCCCACTGTGCCTGCTCAGTGCTGGGGCCCTCCCTGCCCCAAGGGCACCCCATCCTGCAAAGGCACAGCCTTACTAGCAGCTCTGTTTTTTGGGGGAGGGGGGCACATGGAGTCTCCCTCTGTCACCAGTCTGGAGTGCAGTGGTGCCATCTCAGCTCATTGCAACCTCCGCCTCCCAGGTTCAAACGATATTCCTGCCTCAACCTCCCGAGTAGGTAGGACTACAAGTGCCCGCCACCATGCCTGGCTAATTTTTGTATTTTTAGTAGAGTTGAGGTTTCATCATGTTGACCAGGATGGTCTTGAACTCCTGACCGGGTGATCTGCCCACCTCAGCTTCCCAAAGTGCTGGGATTACAGGCATGAGACACCATGCCTGGGCACGTGTAGCTCTTTCTAGCCCTTCCTGGGGCAGTGCCCAGGCCTGCAAGCTTCTGCTCGGGACTCATCCCCTCTGGGCCTTGGTTTCCTTCTCTGTAAAATGGGGTCATTGTGGGCCAGGCACAGTGGCTGATACCTATAATCCCAGCACTTTGGGAGGCTGAGGCAGGTAGATCACTTGAGCCCAAGAATTAGAGACTAGCCTGACCAATGTGGCAAAACCCATCTCTAAATAATAATAATAATAATAATAATAATAATAATAATAATACAAAAATTAGCCAGACACGGTGATGCATGCTTGGAGTCCCAGCTACTGGAAAGGTGAGGCAGGAAGATGGCTAGAGCCTGGGAGGCGGAGGCTGCAGTGAGCCGAGATCTTGCCACTGCACTCTAGCCTGGGTGACAGATCCTGTCTCAAAAAAGGAAGGAAGTAAGTAAATAAATAAGTAAAATGGGATCTCTGTGACTTCTCATCACATGGCTGGCGTCTGGGGCAGAGCAGGCTCTTGTTGGCTGTGAGCCCTTGAAAGCTGGCCAGGCACCTCACCCTTCCATCTCTCCACGTAGACCACCAGTGTGGGGAGCGAGAACCACCCAGGAAGTGCACGTGGCCCTCTGCAGACTTCCTCCCCCATCCCTGCCCACGCTGTGGCCTGCCCTGGGCTCAGTGGGTCCTCAGTGGACCTCAGTGTTCCAGAGGTTCTGTCCTATCTACACTGGCTGTCCTCAAGCCGTGGGCAGTGGATGGGCCTGGGCTGGGGACGGTTGCTGGACCCCACCGCTGACCCGCCCCCTTTCTTGGCAGGTCCATAATGTATCCTTCGCCTTTGAGCTGATGCTGGACGGAGGCCTCAAGAAACCCAAGGCTCGCCCTGAAGGTAATGTCCCTGGCTCAGGTTCCCGTGGGAGGGCTGGGTGTGGAAGGGAGGAAAACCGGGTCCCAGCAGTGGCCGGAAGGCTGGCGTGTTGTTCCCCCGATGGGCCCCGCATCTCTGGCTCTGGGGCGAGGGTTTGCCAACCCCAGCTCCCCCGTCTCCTCATTTTGGGGACCAGGAGGACTTTGCTGGTGGAGCTGGCAGTGCCAGTTCTTTAATAACCACTTTGAAGGACGTGGCCTCTGCCCACAGACCTCAGGATGAAGTACGTCTCTAGCTGGCCACTTGGGCTGGAAATGCAGCTTTGTGGCCTGAGAAGGTATTAAAGGCTTACTCAAATTTAATGTTGCTTGGGGTGGAGGTCTCCTGGTGCTCAGCCGAACGCAGTGCTTGGGAGCAGGGACTTGGCGCACTCCTGCTCCTTGTGGGTCTGAGCTGGGGGTAAGAGACCAGCAGAGCCGGGGTGGGAGGTCACTTCACTGTCCCCACCTGGCTCCTGTGCTGATTTGCCTGTACGAGGACTCTAACCCGAACGAGCATCAGAATTCCTGGGAAGGGTTCTTCAGAAGTGCTTGGGGACGGCCAGGCTCAGTAGAACGTGGGTGGAAGTGCCCGTGAGCCCTGCTGAAAAGTTACAGGGTAGAGTTGAACATTAAAGGCTCTGATAAGTCCTGTGTGACGCCATCTCTTTGCTGCCATCAAAACCTTTGCCATGTAGGAGGAACCCACAGAACTCAGACACTGTGGTTTATGCCCGTGGGCCCCCGCCTTGACCATGGCTCCCTACCCAGCCCTGCTCCCTCTCCTGAGTCCCCCATGGTAATACATGAGTCAGGGGTCCGTGACGCTTACGTCTGTTGCCAGCATCCACTCAGTGGCGGGCTGTGTAGAGTCTCTGACATAGCGAGAAAGCGGATCCCGTCCCTTGCATCCACCCACCGCAGTTGCCGTCTCCTGCCAGTCCACGGGGAAGCCCTGGCCGGTCCCCTCCTGCCCGTGTGCCCTCCTCTCAGGGTTTCACGGGACGATTCCACACCCTCCCCTCTCATTGCATGCATGGCTGTTTATTCTTTTTTGCTTTGAGACAGGGTCTCACTCTGTCGCCCAGGCTGGAGTGCAGTGGTGTGATCACAGCTCACTGCAGCCTCTGCCTCTTGGGTTCACACCATCCTCCCACCTCAGCCTCCCAAGCCGCTGGGACTAAGGTGCACACCACCATGCCTCGCTGATTTTTTAACTTCTTTTTTTTTTTGTAGAGGTGAGGTCTCACTATGTTGCCCAGACTGGTCTCAGACTTCTGGGCTCCAGCGATTTGCTGCCTCCCATTACAGGCACGAGTCCCCATGCCTGGCCTTGTTGATTTTTTTTGTTTTCTTTTTTGAGATGGAGTCTCACTCTGTCTCCAGGTTGGAGCACAATGGCATGATCTTGGCTCACTGCAACCTCCGACTCCCAGGTTCAAGCGATTCTCCTGCCTCAGCCTCCTGAGTAGCTGGGATTACAGGCACACACCACCACATCCAGCTAATTTTTGTATTTTTAGTAGAGATGGGGTTTCACCATGTTGCCCAGGATGCTCTCGATCTCCTGACCTCATGATCTGCCCGCCTTGGCTTCCCAAAGCGCTGGGTTTAAGGGTGTGAGCCACTGCACCCGGCCTGTTGATTCTTCATTGTCCCACCCTCTGCACTAGAGTGGAAGCCCCAAGGCAGCAGGGCTTTGTCCACTGCATGCTGAGAATAGTGCCTGGCCTGGAAACTGCTCGACAGCACTGGGTCGAAGCCTGCGTCCAGCGGGCATGTGGCGAGCTGCTGCCCGTCGGGGCCGGCGTGGCCTGGGTCTCTGGGACTCCTCGTGGCTGCTGCCCTGCAGCCCTTTTGTTGCTGTGAGGCAGGGGCATGAGGGAGTGGCTGGGGGCCCAAGGGATGCTGCTCTGCCTCTCCCAGCTGTGTGTCCTTGGACAGGTTACTTTGCCTTTCTTAGCCAGGGCCTCCTCATCTGTGCAGGGGAGTGACCATGGCACCTGTGTCCACAAACCTCATGGGGTCGCTGGGGGAGCAGGTGCATCACACAGGACTTGTCAGAGCCTTCAGTGTTCAGCTCTGCCCTGTAACTTTCCAGCAGGGCTGACGGGCAGTGCCACCCACGTTCTGCTGAGCCTGCCAGCCCCTCAGCACCTGTTAAGCTCAAGGGAGCTGCTTCTATGAGCACTGGAAGAGGGTCCTGCTCACAGAATTAAATATATGATGAGATTAAATATATGAGATATTTGATGAGATTATATTTGAAGAGATTATATATGATGAGATATAAACGATGAGATTATACATGAGATTATATATGATATATATATGATGAGATATATGATGAGATCATAAATGATGAGATCATATATGTGAGATCATATATGATGAGATTATAAATGATGAGATTATAGATGGTGAGATCATATGTGATGAGATTATATATAATGAGATTATATATGAGACCATATATGATGAGGTCATATATATGATGAGTATATATATAATGCAATTATATACAATGAGATTATATATGGAATTATATATGGTGATATTATGATATGATGAGATTAAATATATGATGAGATTATATGTGAGATTATATGATGGGATATATATGATGAGATATATATGATGAGATTAAATATATGTTGAGATTAAATGTATGATGGAATTATGAGATCATATATGATGAGATTATAAATGATGAGACCGTATATAATTAAATATATGATGAGATTAAGTGTATGATGGGATTATGATGAGATCATATATGATGAGATTATATACGATACGATTATATATGATGAGATTATATATGGTGAGATTATATGGTGGGACTATGTATGATGAGATTAAATATATGATGAGGTCACATATGATGGGGCTATATTTGATGAGATTATAAATGATGAGATTATATATACGATGAGATTGTGTATGATGGGATTATAAATGATGAAATTATAGATGGTGAGATCATATATGATGAGATATATGATGCGATTATATACATGATGAGATTATATATGATGAGATCATACATATGAGATCATCTATGATGAGATTATATATATTGATGGTTAGCGTTAGTGTATGGTTGGGTCACACACCGTCAGGGAGGAGAAATCCTTGCTCATGTCTGCTGAGGGCTTGGCTGGGGCTTCCTTTAGTCTCCCATAACCCAAAGCCTGGGCCCCATCTGTAGCCTGGGGTCCTCTCCCCCATACCCTCAGAAGAGCCCCTGGTGGCCCTTGGCCTCTGAGCTGCTGAGGGAACTCTGTTTCTTTGCTCCCACAACCCCCCACCCTTCTTTTTTCCTGAGACAGAGTCTTGCTCTGTCACCCAGGCTGGAGTGCAGTGGCTCTATCCCATCTCACTGCAGCCTCCGCCTCCCGGGTTCAGGCAATTCTCCTGCTTCAGCCTCCCCAGCAGCTGCAATTACAGGCACCTGCCACCACGCCTGGCTAGTTTTTGTATTTTTAGTAGAGATGGGGTTTCACCACATTGGCCAGGCTCGTCTCAAACTCCTGACCTCAGGTGATCCACCCGCCTCAGCCTCCCAAAGTGTTGGGATTACAGGTGTGAGCCACTGCACCCCGCCCTTTGTCCCGTTTTTGAGGAGTGATGCAGGAGCATGTCCAGAGGCCAGGACATCCTCTGACAGGCTGGCCTCCGAGGAGGGGGTGTGCCCTGAGCCGGGATGTGCTTTGTACTCATCTGCCTCTGAGAGCGTGGCTGGATGGCATGTCAGGAAAGGCACCACGGACTCGTGGAAACCAGGCCAGAGGCAGAGGCGCTGGCCCAGGGCAGATAGCCTCCCAGGCAGGGTCCCTCGGTGTCCCAGGGCCTTTGTCCAGCCCGGCAGGGGACAGACCGGGTCTGCAGTGCTCATTAGCACCTTCGCTGGGCCAGCCCTGGCCAGGGACCAAGCCGCGGAGATTTATGAGATGGGGTCCCTGCTGGGCCTCTTTACTTTGTGGCTGATTCAAGGAATGAGAGATTTTTCCTTCTTCATTCAAAACCAGCTGGGGAGCAAGAATCGGGACGTACCAGAGATGAGAATGACACGGAGAATGGGGCACGGTGGCTGTGGCCTCCCTGACACCCTCCTCCGAGCTAGGCAGCCTTACCTGGGTACTCAGAGCTGGTGGGGAGGGAGGCAGTGGCTGTGGCCTCCCCCACGGGCCTGAGACTGCCCTGTCGGTGCCCACCTGGAGGAAGCAGAGCAGTCTCACGCTCCCTGCACATGGTGCGTCTGAACAGCCAGGCCTGTACCTTGTCCCCAGGCCCCCAGCTCTGATGAGCATCCCAGCTCCCTGCCCCCTTGGGGGGAGCTGGAGGAGACTCCAGTGGGGTCCCCGACCCTGCCCTTAAGGAGGCCCCTTGCCTGAGAGAGAGCCTTGTCGCTCGCTAGAATTTCGCAGGGCTGAGTGCCAGAGCTGGTTGGTGAGGTGGGCCTTTGGGGAGCACAGAGGGACTGGAGTTCACGGGTCACAGAATGGGATTCCTATCTCCTGGGCACAGGTGCTGAGTGGTGGCTGTGGTTAGCAGGGTCTGGCAGGGGTGCAAGGGCTGAGTTCTGTTTGTCCAGTGAGGCTGTCTGGAAGTTTTCAGAGCTCAGACCTGGGGGCATCAGTGCCAGGCTGCTGCTCTGGTCTCCCTGTGAATCCCCCATGGGAGTGGACTCAGTGGGGGTCAGCAGGCGATGGCCCCCACCTCTGGGATCTCCTCTGTCCCCGCTGTTCCCCTCGCCTTGGCCGCCTCCAGCTCCATGGCACCATCCTCCCTCCCCTGCCTGCTCTGGGCTGTCGGGAGCTGGGGTGGACCCATCAGGCCAGGGGGAGACCCCGGGATCCTCAACGGGCCCCAGGTGTGTCCTCAGCCCGCCGAGCCGAGTTCAGCTCTGATCCTGCTCTGACAGCACACTCGCAGGCAGGTCCTTTCCCCACGGTGAGTCTTGGTCTTCTTTGTGGAGTGAGAGGGAAGGAAAGGAGGCCGTACGGTTTCTGACGAGGTTGTGCGAGTTGAGAAACTCCACCTCAGTGACAAGGACAGCTGCTGATTCTTAGCAGCCACCCCACCTGCTCTCTCAGTGACAGATGCCATTTCTTGCCCTTGTGGTCAGGCTAAAGCACGGGGTCACCAGTGGTTACCTTTGGATCACAGGAGTCAGGGCTCAAAGGGCCTTGAGTGTCATCTGGTCCGGGCCTATTTTACTGATGAAGAGACTGAGCCCCACTGGCAGCATGGGGTGCCCCCCCCCATACCCTCAGAAGAGCCTCTGGTGGCCCTTGGCCGCTGAGCTGCTGAGGGAACGCTGGTTCTTTGTCCCCCTGCCCCGCCCCCGCTGGAGTCTTGCTCTGTCACCCGGGCTGGAGTGCGTGGCGCAATCCCAGCTCACTGCAATCTCCACCTCCTGGGTTCAAGTGATTCTCCTGCTTCAGCCTTCCAAGTAGCTGGGATTACAGGCACCCGCCACCATGCCTGGCTAATTTTTGTATTTTTAGTAGAGACGGGGAAGTCACTTAGAGGTCACAGAGCAAGTGAAATGAACAAGGTGCCTGGTTCCCAAGAAGGTTCTCTTCCAACCAAAGAAAGTGGCCCAAGACTTCCAGGGCCCCAGAGGAAGCTGTCGGGTCCATCAAGTGTTACTGGGGTTTTTGGCCCCAGTAAGTCTCATTAGCTACATCCCCCAACCAGTCCTTAGACACCTCCGGATGCAGATCCAGGAGGGGCTGTGGGAGTGTCTCTGTCCTTGTGTCCCAGGTGCTTGTCCCTGCAGGGTGTCAGCCTGCACCAGGAGCTCTCACACAACCTGTGTGCCTGCAGAGGCACTGCCCAGAGTGTCCTGGACAGGGTGGCGGTCAGTCTTTAAGAGGAAGCACTCTGGGGATGCAGCAGCTGGTGTCATGCTGGAGACGTGGCTTCTGAGAGTAACTACCGCAAGGACGGAGAGGGCATGGCCCCTGAAGTTTCTCTGTTTCCTTCTGCAGACGTGGTGAACTTGGACCTGAAATCCACACTGAGGGTTCTTTACAACCTGTTCACCAAGTACAAGAATGTGGAGTGACGGGGGAGCTGCGGACGGAGGCAGGAGTGCTCCGGCAGGAAAAGCAGCGTCTGTCTGTGCCCCGTGCCTTTCCAGGGAGGCAGACGCCTTGGGCTTCTGGTCCCAGCTGTGTGACTGTCATCCCCACCGCACCCTTACCCCCCTCTACCCTTACTCCACCCCCCAACCCCCCCCCCCCCCCCCCCCCCCCCCACCCCCTGCCCCCCCCCCCCCCCCCCCCCCCCCCCCCTTTTTTTTTTTTTTCTCAAGATGGAGCCCCCCCCCCCCACCACCCTCCAGTGTCAACACCTGCCTAGAAAGACATTAACCACAGATACAGAGGATCTGCCTTCCATCAAAAAGCTCCTTACTTCTGTCAGTGTTTTTTTTTTCTTCTTGGCTGTTGTTCTCAATCCCCTTTCCATGTAATTCCCAAAGGGCGAGAGCCTTTGAAAATGCAGGATTCTAAACACCGGCGCTTGCGTTTGAGGCCTCGAGTCACCTCAGTTGCGTGGGATGCTGAGTCCGTTGTTGTCTGCCCTGGCCAAAAGATGAAAAAAAAAAGAGCCCGAACCCCCGTCCCCTGCTGATTGAGAGCACCCTGCATTCTGCCTGCTGGTGGAATGAGTGATCACAGGCCCTCAGAAGCTGCGGCATCAGCTCTGCAGAAACGCCTGCTCCCTGAGGTCCTGCGCTTGGTGGCTCACCGGGGACCTCCTGGGCTGGGCTCTCCTTGGAAGAGAGGCCTTTTTAATAAAAGGGTTTTGCAGTTTGAAAAACTTTAAAGTGACAGAAGCTTAGATGTGACACGAGTGTTCTCCACCCACATTCCTGTCACTTCTTGGCCACTCCTTGTTGTTTTAATGTAGCTTTTGCACAAACATCCAAGACCCAGGACAGCCCAGCTGCCACAGTCCTCGGAAGGAGCCGTTTGCTGGGGCCGTTTCTGAATTTCTCACTGTGGTTGAGGGGCTGGGTCTGGGGATGGTGGTTCTAATTGTGCTGCTGGAGACAGCGTGGGCCCGAGCTTTCCCCTTCAGAGGCCCTTTTAGGGACGGAATGCCTCTTCGGAAACCTTAAAATGAGGGTGTGCATTGGTTCACTGGCCTTGTGTAATCAAGTGCCACAGGTGAGTCTTGCAGATGTCAGAGAGTCATGTCCTCAGGCCTCTCACCTTTGCTTCTAGATGCCGGCTTCTCCCCGTGTCTTCATGTGGTCTCCCCCTGTGTGTCTGTGTCCTCACTGCCTCTTTTATCTTTAGTATTTTTTTTTTGATACAAGGTCTCACTGTCACCCAGGAGTACAGTGGTGCCATCTCAGCTCACTGCAGCCTTGATCTCCCAGGCACAGGTGATCCTCACACCTCAGCCTCCCAAGTCGCTGGGACCACGGGTGCACACCAATGTGCCCATCTAATTTTTGTATTTTCAGTAGAGACAGGGTTTCACCGTATTTCTGAGGCTGGTCTCAAACTCCTGGGCTTAAGGGACCCACCCACCTCAGTCTCCCAAAGTGCTGGGATTAGAGGCATGAGCAGCCTGCCCAGGCTGACCTCCTCTTCTTAGAGGGGTGGCTGGGTGCGGTGGCTCACGCCTGTAATTCCAGCACTTTGGGAGGCCGAGGCGGGTGGATCACGAGGTCAGGAGTTCAAGACCAACCTGGCCAAGATGATGAAACCCCGTCTCTACTAAAACTATAAAAATTAGCCAGGCGTTGTGGCGTGCACCTGTAGCCCCAGCTCATGGGTAGGCTGAGTCAGGGAATTGCTTGAACCCAGGAGGTGGGGGGTTGCAGTGAGCCGAGATCGCACCACTGCACTCCAGCCTGGCAACAGAGCAAAGACTCCATCTCAAAAAATTAAAAAAAAAAAAAAAAAAAAAAAAAAAAAAACCCACCACAAAAAAAAAAAAAAAAAAAAAAAGGGCTGCCATCCCACTGGATTAGGGCCCACTTCTATGACCTCATTTAACCTCGATTACCTCCATAAAGACCCTCTTTCCAAATATCAACATGCAGAAGGTGCTGTGGATTAGGACTTGGGCATGTGGATTTCAAGCGATGTCATTCCCCTTACAATGGGAGGATATGAAATGTTCATCTCATTCTCCCTGTAGCCCCGACAGCATCTTCCTTTACAGCATCTTATAAAAGGAGACACTGCTCACTCGGTTATGGGCTATTCACCCCCTCGCTCACCCCAGCTCTGGATCAAGCCACTGCACTCCAGCCTGGGTGACAGAGTGAGGCTCTATCTCAAAAAAAAAAAAAAAAAAGAGCTGCAATTTTCAGCCAAAATGAGCAGTCCCAGCCCATTCTGTGTCATCAGAGGGAACAGGTCGGTTACTCTGGGAGGAGGCTTCAGCTTCGCAGAATTGGCAATCCCATCGGCCATGCCTTCTGCGCCAGCCTCTGGTCACAGTAGGTCCCTGGCTGTGGCGCCCCCCCCATGCCCCTCCCCAGCGCCTTCCCAGAGCTCTGACCCGCCGACCCCCTGGGGTACACCTGCTGCAAAGCGGTCCCTGCCTTGGCTTCTCACAGCATTCTCCGCAACGAGCCGGGCCTTTCTGATTGCCTTAGCTTTTTGTCTTCCTGCCGCAGATCAGAGCTGTTGAGTAAGTTTTAATATGAAATCAAATGCCAACACGGAAGTTTTAGAAAACAGTTTAATATTCCCCTCAGTTCCGGCTGTTGCTAGGCTGGGGATGGGTTCAGAAGAGCCATTTTGATGAGGTGGCTTCCCAGCAGGGGAAAGAAATAATTAAAACGGCATTACAGTGGCTCCTGCGGGATGCAGTGACATTAAAGAGCCACACTGACAAAAAAACCTGGCACCGGAACGTTCTGTGCTGCCCACGTGACGCGCACAGGACCGCGGCCTCTGGAGCCCATGGGGTGGCCCTGCCCTGCCCTGGCCTGCTCACAGGCCTGGAGAGGGCGCTGTGCCTTCCCGGGAATTGGCATTTGGAAAGAACAGAGCTTGGCTAGGCGCGGTGGCTCATGCCTGTAATCCTAGCACTTTGGGAGGCTGAGGCAGATGGATCACTTGGGGTCAGAAGTTCGAGACCAGCCTGGCCAACGTGGTGAAACTCTCTCTCTACTAAAAATCCAAAAATTAGCCAGGGGTGGTGGTGCATGCCTGTAATCCCAGCTACACAGGAGGCTGAAGCAGGAGAATCGCTTGAACCCGGGAGGTGGAGGTTGCAGTGAGCTGAGATTGTGTCAGTGCACTCCAGCCTGGGCAACAGAGCGAGACTCTGTCTCAGAGGGAAAGAAGGAGGGAAGGAGGGAAGAAGGGAGGGAGGGAGGGAGGGAAGGAGAAAGGAAGGAGATAAGTTCTCGCTGCGTTGCCCAGGCTGGAGTGCGTCGTCATTCACAGACACACACGTAGCACACGGCAGCCTTGAACTCCTGGGCTCAAGTGATCCACGTGCTTCCGCATCCCAAATTTCCCGGACACAGGTGGACGCCACCACACCTGGCTTGGATGTGATCTTTTGTCCGAACTCTTCAAACTGGTTCCGAGGTGTAGGTGTGCCTTCTGCATACCTGGGAGGCCCCATTAGACTTGACTCTGCCCATTTTCCCCCATCTACCATCAGTTTGAATCTGAATTCACAGCCAGGCCTGGCCAGATGCATCGAGGGGCCAGATGCACCCGGTTCCGAGGCAGGATTCTGGGTGAACTCGATTCCCGTGGGCTCGGGACGAATGGTCGCTGGGGCACGAGGTGGGGGTAAGACGCGCGGTCTGCTGCAGTTCTTGGTGCTTAGTTCAGAGAAGTTCTGGGCACGACGTTTTCAGTGAATTGTTCTTTGAAGAGGAACCCTGGTGTGCAGGAACTAGGTGAAGGCAAAGCCCTGTGTCTCCACCCACGGGGGCAAATGTCCGGCACAGGGAGGTCTCAGGTCTGCAAGGGCCGAGTGGACACTCGGACAAGGGCGGGACGGTCTTTGCTGATTCTCCTCCTCCGTGTGAGGTGCCTCTCAACCCACACCAGCTCGGGGAGCCTCCCGCGGCTTCAGTTCCCCTTTGACGCCCACACAGTGTTATGCAAGCGTGGAGCCCAGAGCCCCGCTGGGCCGCGGTGTCCTAATTGGAGGTGACAAAGAGCAATTTCGTGTTAAAGCAATGGAATCCTTTCCCCCGTTCGGTGTGCCGGTATTTTATTGTCGTCTTAATTGTTTTGAGCAGTGTTTACTTTGGATTTCTGGATGTTAAATAAAAGCCACGAAAACCCTGGCCCTGCCATTGATCAGGCCAGCCTGGCCGACCGCAGGAAGCAAGCGCTTTTCGGGAGCCCACTGCCATGCCAAGCAAGCACTTCCTAAGCCAGAAGTGCGGTTAGGAAAATGCCTCGTGGTGTCACAATATGCTGTTATTGATTCCAATAAAGAACTCGTGAGCATGGGCCTGTCCGCCGTCTTTGTCCGGCTGTTTCTGTCTTTCATGCATTTATCGGTCGTGGGTGGTGCCACCCAAGGAACAGGTGCCAGGGCCTGGTGACTCCACCTGGCCCTGCTTCCCGGGGACTTCCAGGTAGACAGGAGCTCAGGGAAGAGCCAGTCACAGCCCTCTGTGGGGGATGGGACTTTGGGAACCCCAGCTTCCTCGGGGACCACAGGGAGAAGAGGGCAACAGAGTCACAGCTGCAGATGAGTAATAAAGGCTCATCTGCCCCTCTGCCTGGGTCCAGACCATACGAGCACAAAGCTAGTGTCCAGGGGCACAGGCTGCATGAACACATGGAGGGGGTCTCCTTACTCTTCATGATGTGACGTCACGGGGCCTTGCGTGCTGACCAGTAAGTGGCTGCTCTTGACTCTGCAGGGCAAGGGACCTCTGTGTGACAGAGATGGTGGCCTGCCCTCTGTGCTGGCCCTGCCATAAACCCTCCTTGGCACAGGTCATGGTAGGCTTCAGAAGCATCAAACTTTACGAAATGATGATAAAATTGCGACTATTCCAGGATAGCTAGCCTGCAGAAAAAGGCAACCATGCTGTTAAAAAATAACGAACTACCAACTAAAAACTGTGGATGGGAGGAATCTGCGCTGGGAGAAGTGCCTGGGTTTGCGTCCAGCCTTGTCTGTGTGTGACCATGACCTCGGGGAGCTAAGTCACCCACACCTTCCAGCTCAGGGTTCTGGGTGACAAGTTCAACCTCCTTCCTTCAAAGTCAGCCGTCCTCAGTGGGAAG